GACCTCAGGCGGGCCAGGCCGTGTGAGGGTGTGAGGAGAGGGCCCTGTGACCTCAGGCGGGCCAGGCCGTGTGAGGGTGTGAGGAGAGGGCCCTGGGACCTCAGGTGGTCAGGTGGTGTGAGGGTGTGAGGAGAGGGCGCTGGGACTTCAGGTGGGCCAGGCGGTGTGAGGGTGTGAGGAGAGAGCCCTGGGACCTCAGGTGGGTCAGGGGGTGTGAGGGTGTGAGGAGAGGGCTCTGGGACCTCAGGTGGTCAGGTGGTGGGAGGTGGAACAAGCAGGGCCCGTTCTGGGACAATGAACACCAAGCACTGTTCTGGGACAATGAACACCAAGCACTGCTGGCCAAGCTGAGGGTTTCATGAGGTGGATGTGGGCAGGTGGCCCTGAGGCAGGTAGATCAAAGTGGTCAGTGTTGCTGGCCAGACATGGGGGTGTTGGAGAAACAAGAACAGAGGGGAGAGAAGCAAGCTAGAGGGAAGAGGGCGGGACAGCAGAAACTGGGGCTCCAAGGGGCTGGGGGCTCTGAGAGCTGGTGTCGTGGACCCCACTGCTTTGCTGCCCAGCCCACGGCCTGCTGGGCAGCGGCCCCTCTATACACAAGCTGGCCACGGGCTGGGCTTGACCATCTCTGTGCAGGGCGGGGGACTGTACTGTGGCTCCTCCATTCCGGCCTAAGCCCTGGGCTCATCTCATCCAGTTCTCAGGGTTCTGGTACATTCTCGCCACCGCCACTGATGCCAAGGGCTTCCTGCCGAGCCAAGGCAAGGGGAAGTTGTGGGCATCGCTGGTAGACATCCACAGCAAGGGCCAGCTCAAGGTGGTCATTGCTGTCAATGGGTGAGTGGGCATAGTCTAGCAATCCCTGAGGGGCCCTGGGACCACACCGTCAGGGGGTCTGCTCCCCTGAGAGACTACTAGGGGGCGGGAAGGAGCCGGAGAGAGGGAGTCAGCCCAAGGACTCAGTGGACCCCTGCAGGAAGAGCCTTTGCTCACCCACAATTCAGGGGCCCAGGGCAGGTTGGACAGTGTGTGCCCACGGGTGGGTGCTGGGTGGTGTCTGAGCTGTGGGAAACCCTGGACCAGAATGGAGAGACCCAGACAACAGACCCTAAAACAGACAAGGTGGGGTGCAGCCTCCCAAACCTGCCCAAGTGCCTGGAGCTTGGGCAGAGCAAGCAAGCCAGGGTGGGGGGCTTGCAGGACACATAGGAGGGCTCGGCTCACAGCCCCCTCTGCACAGACAACAAGGCTGCCAGGCCCACACAGTCATGCTGAGGAAGGACAGCAAAAGGCCGGTGTTCAGAAACCCCTGTGAGTGTGGACCAGGGCTGGTGGGTGAGGAGGGGGTCAGAGACGCCCCGGTGAGTGTGGTCTAGGGCTTGTGGGTGACGGGGCTGTGGACCAGGGCTGGTGGGTGAGGGGGGTGTGGTCAGAGAAACCATAATGAGTGTGGACAAGGGGTCATGGGCAAGGGGGTGTGGACCAGGGCTGGTGGACCAGGTAAGGGTCAGAGAAGCCCTGGTGAGTGTAGACCAGCACTGGTGGGTAAAAAAAGTATGGATCAGGGCTTGTGGGTGAGGGGTGTGGACCAGGGGTCATGGGTGAGCGGTGTGGACCAGGGGTCATGGGTGAAGGGTGTGGATCAGGGGTCATGGGCGAGGGAAGTGTGGACCAGGGCTCATGGGTGATGGGGCCCAGAAGTGGGGATGGGACAAGGATGAGCACTGGTGTCAGGATCACGCTGGCACTGTCCCAGGCTTGTCCTCCTGGGGAAGATGTCACAGCCTGGATGTGGATGAAGCTGGACATGACCACTGGTTTGTTTTCTTCTAGTGAGAGGCGTCAAGGGCTTCCACGTGCTGGCCACCAACTACCACTATGGTGTGGTCTGTGTGTGGCTGGGCCGGGCAGGCCGGGAAGTCAAGAACCTGCTGCTCTTCAGTGAGTGCCCACGGGAGCCCAGGGGACAGGGGGATGGGCCATGGCCACTGCCTGGGGTGGGGGGAGGGCGGGTCTTCCAGGCAGGTGTGTGGGGAGCCACCGTGTGGCTGGTGGGGAGTTAGAGGTGCCTGGGGGCCGTCAGGGCCTGGGATTCTGGGAGAGGAGGTTATGGATGCCAGTCCTGGTGTGGCCGAGGGTGGAATGGGTAGACAGGGACATTGCAGAGGACAAGTCTGTCCATGAGAGGCTGGGCAAATGTCCATCCCTGTGGACAGGGAACCTCCAGGTGGCTTGGGGTCAGGGGTGCAGTGAAACAGAGGAAGGACAGGTACACACCATCACCTCCAGATGCCAACTCTGGGGGCTCAGAGGGAAGTAAGATCCTGGGGAGTTATGGAGGAGGAGGCTATCAGTGGGTCAAGGGTCCAGTCAGGGCCCAGGAATGACAGAGACTTGGCAGAAGGGCTGCCCCGTGGTCAGTGGCACCTCTGTCTGTGAAATGGGGTGTGATCACCCCAGCCTGGCACTCCCCTTGCTGAACCCTTCGCTTCTCTATCCCTCAAGCTAAGGGTCATTTCACTGACCACTGCATAGAGGTCCGGCTACAGGCTCTGTGGCCGCTGATCAGAGGTCAGATTGCAGCCCAGATGGCCAGAGAGAGGGGTTCAGGCTGCAACCTCGACGCCTGTGGGGTGAGGGTCAGGCTGGAGCTCTGACGGCCTGAGTTTCGCTGGACACTATGATGTCACCCCATGACAGGCCGGCAGACTACGTCGAGTTTCCTGAGCCTCAGAGAATTTGTGGACACAGCTGAGATTCTAGACCTGGTTAGGACTGTGACCATTCTTCCGAAAGACGGTGGGTATGGCCCAGCCCTCGACCGCACTCGGCCTCCCTGGCAGCTGCCTGCCCAGTCAGAACATTGATGTGTGTGGGGAGGGGACATGTCAGGATGGACAACCGTGGGACGCAGTCCACTCTGTGTCTGTCTCCCCATCATAGGCTCTGCCCCAGGGCTGCCAAGGTCCTCGAGGTCCCAGAGCTGGGGCTGCCAGAGTGGCCAGCACAGTGCTCGTGGGGGACGTGACAAGAGCAAGTCTGATCCCTCAGCATCTTTCTCTTCCACAGTCTCCTGTGCAAACACCATCCTGCCGTGAACACAGTGCCCTCCGCCCTCCCCAGCGGTCAGTAGGACCCACCAGTGCTCACCTGGGGGTCTGGGACTGCCAGTGACCACGGAGAGATGAGAACTGGGCCATGTCCTCCTGGCGCTCTGCTCCCTGTCTGTTGTCATACAAAGGTGGACCCTTTGCTGCTTGGTCTTGGAGTCCTACTGGACAAAGGGTCCAGGTCTCCTGTCCCTCAGTGACATGCTCCTTCTTGCCTGTGGCTCCCAGTCCGTCCTCTCCAGCTCTGGACTGTCCCCAAGTGTCCTTCCTTTCCTGTCTGTCCATTTTGTAATTATCAATGGCTCAGTCACACAAGACCATGGACATCCTGTCCCCAGCCCTCTCACTGCCAGGTCCAGTGGTGGCCCGGAGGCCCGATGCAGGGTTCCCTAGTGTAGTTCCTCTCCACTTTTGGGGCTGGCCTTCGATTATGATGAAACCATTCAAATGAGTTGTTTTGGTGTTAAGACGGACTCTGTAGCGACGTCATCGCAGTCACTCTCCAGAAGCGTCTTATAATCACCACGTGCAGCAGCACTTTTGGACGTTTTTGTTCCTGTTAGTCTGAATCCGTTAACTTCTCACACACCCGTGCTTTAAAGATGAGATGTAGGACCCCCACTCAGAATGGTAAAGGACCCCAGGAGGGCTGGGGTGTGGGCCCCAGGGCACCCTGGGTGTGTGCACAGAGAGGCTGGGAAGCAGGTCCTTGCTGGACCTGACCCTGTGACCTTCCAGTTACTGAGTCTTGAGCCATCTGTTCGCCTAGGGACTCCTCAGCCAATGCCTCAGCCAAAGTCAAGGTTTCTGCCTGGGAAGATTTATGCTCTCCCTTCCCCAGTTAGGGCCTGGCCAGATGTCAGGAAGAGATGCACACCTGAGCTTCTTCAGAAGGAAGTGATCCAACAGAATGTGGAACTCGTGAACAGCAACATCAACATGAAGCTTTGCTGGAGATAATGTAAAAACACCTGCATCCAGGGACATGCAGGGCCTGCAGCCGGGGACGTGAGGAGCCTGCAACTGGGGAACTGCAGGGCCTGCAGCCGGGGACGTGCAGGGCCTGCAGCCGGGGACGTGCAGGGCCTGCAGCTGGGGAAATGCAGAACCTGCAGCCAGGAACTGCAAGCTGACCAGAGAAAGCTCTGCACCGAGGTGGGAGGGAGGGAGAGGATGCTGCCTGCGTTTTACTGACTATGTAGTCTTTGGCTTGCCTCAATCACAGCACTTGGCAGGACGGGGGAGGGGAAGATTCTAGAACACTTAGTGGTGTTCACACACAGTGTCTGGGCATGGACCAAGAGGCCTGTGAACAGAACAGACCGTGCACGGTTTGGAATCAGGAAAGGTGTGTGTCAGGTGTTTCACTGGATTTATTGGGTCTCTATGCTGGTGAATGAGTGAGAAGCTGCCTCTGTGAAGTAGAACACATGCAGACAGCAGCAAGCCTCATTACCAACCTGTGCTGGACGATGACACAGTCCTGCAAAGTGGAGACGCCTTGAGCCACACTCACTTATGAAGAGCAAAGAGCTCTCTTCAGAACAGCTTTCCCGTCATCAGAAGGGAAAGAAAATCCTCACTATTTGACCAGTAAATGGGGAAAAGAAGGAGGCTGTTAAGGATTTCACTTTGCTTCAACCCATAACCAATGTCTGTCCATGAAAGCAGCAGCTACAACAGCAGTCAACGGGCCACATTGGGAAAACACGGACGAAAGAACTCCTTAAAGTGTTAAGAAGCAGGGTGAGGTGTGCCCGCGTCAAGCCGTGGTATTGTCCATCACCAGACATGCATGTGAGGCTTGGATAACACATAAGGAAGCTGGAAGAACTGATGCCTCTGAATCGTGGTGTTTGCGGAGAGTATGTCACGGGCTGCTGGAAGAACAAACAGCTGTGTCTTGGAAGTTGATGGCTCCTTGGAAGGAGGTGGTGAGCCTTCCTCTTACATGTTACCAGGAGGGGCTGCATCCGGGAGAAGGACATCACGCCTGGTAAAGTCAGTGAAGGGAGAAGAGAGAGGTGGGTGGTACAGTAGCCACAGCACCGTGACCACTGTGGGGACGATGAACCACTGAGCAGTGTCCTGTCGTACAAGGGTCACGACAAGTTGGAAATGATTTGCCGGCACCCCACACAAGAACTTTTCAGCTACTCTGGAGCCTTGGAAGAGAGGGACTCCCCTATGTTCTATGTTGGAGGCCAGTGTTTCCCAAAGCACCATGGGAGGAAAGCACCAGAAGTGCCAGTGTGGTGCGGTGCGGGTGATGGTGGCAGGAACGAAACCCCTCGGCATTCTGGGATTGGGGGAGCTGTGTTCCTTCGGACAGATGGCTCTGTTGGGTCACCTGCCTGTACTCTCCCACCCACACCACAGGGAAGCCCCCAGCATGGTCTGAGCTCCATTACCTGAGGGGGCCACCAGAAGTTGGGTGGGCTGCACCTTGGCAATGGCTGTTCCCAAGGGGAAGGAAGAGAGAGGCAGGCCTCTGTATCTGTCCTGGAGGTGGACACTCTAGGGTCAGGACTAACCACCACTGCCCAAAAGATCCCCGAGGTCTCTCAGCTGTCGTGGGCCACCACACCTTCCACGGCACCTTGGCCTTTGTGCCCAGTGATGACTGCCCTGGAGGGCAGCCTGCCTCCGTGACAGTGAACCTTACCTGGCAAAGGAGAACTTGCTGTCCTATAAAGTCAAGGACTGGGAGATGGAGAGGCGGTCCCTGACTGCGGGCTGGCCCTGATCTAGTCACATGAGGCCTTAAAGCAGAATTCCTTCTTATCTGTAGTTGGAGAAAGACAACAGAAGGTCAGAGACAGGCAACATTGCCAGCTCCAAAGATGGAGGAAGGGGTCATGAGCTGAGGAAATGTTACTGAACGCAAGGGGTTCTTTCCGTAGTCAATTGCCAATAAGACAAATGGATGCAATATCCAGAAGCACTTTATTACAGACCTGTGGAAGACAGCGGGTCGGCCTCAAAGACTGCCTCCCCGATTGGGAGAGGTCACCAGAGTTTTATACTAAAATCAAAGAATTTCTGGATTGGAAAGAAAATCATTCACACCTAGATACTCTCTTTCCCCACAAACAGGCAGATTAAGTTACAATTTACATATGATTGGGGAAAACAGCTTCAAAGAGACAACAGCTCATGCAGGAGAGCATCTCCTCTTCTGATGAACAGACAGATCAAAGAAAGGACACTAAGAACTCCAAGGTCAAGAAACTAACCTTGCAGGCTGGAGAGAACTGATGCCAGGTTTATAACTATATATAACTATAGTTCCATAACTGATAGATACGTAGAGAATTCTGAACTTATCAATACCACCCCATCAGAAAGTGAGTGTCTTCCATAAAGCAGGAGCAGTCTCCCTGGGGCCTCCAGAGGAAACACACTTGCTGGGACTTGGGTTTTGAGTCCAGTGAGACTTGTGTCAGGCTCTGACCTCCAGAAAGGTGGTAGAAAACAGATAAAGCTCTGTTGGTAACAACATTCCAACAACAACAGGACATTCCCATAGACGCTTCCTGTAGGGAGCTGGTCTAGTGTGACTGGACACGAGACCACTTCACAAAAGGCTCATGTGGGCTCTTCCTGTGGGGAATTTGTCTGACTGAAGCGAGACCACCTCACAGGAAGTCCACAGAGGCTCTTTCTGTATGGATTACGCTGGTCCTAGAGGGTTGAAATCAATAACAAAAAAGAAGCAAAGATGGGTGGGAAAAAATGTTAGGGCAGCATCTAACAAGCTAAGGTCAGTGTGAACCCATGTTGAGGGCCCATAAAAAAGGGAAGGCCCATACGGCCACTAGCTAAGGCTGCATGAGAGTCAGCAGGCCAGTGAAGCAGAGGTCAGATGAAATGCCCAAGACCAGACTCTACTTGGTCAAAGCCAGGAACAGACAGCAGTGACTGAGGGGACGACCTCAGAGCCTCAGTTCTGACAACACTGAGCAACACGTGTGAACACTGACATCAGGAACAGGGGCTGCAGGAAGAAGCACCTGCCAGGTTGTGAACTTCCCACCACACCATCCACTGGGCCAGACGCAAGCCGTAGAGCACTTTCCACCGGGGCAGCAGTGATACCAACCTTTAAAACCGGTGGATGGGCCGCTGCCCCCTGCCTTTCCCTGCGGACACTGCCGTTCTCTCTGAAACGCGTTATTGCTGATCAGTTACCTCTCCATCTTTGCTGCACTCTTGTTCGTGTCTCCTCTCGGCAAGCCAAACACCCGTGGGCCCCTGTTCTAACAAGGGCTGGGCCCCGCCAGGACTTCCTGCTGTCTTCTCTGCCACTTCTCCCACCTGGTTTAGAGCTTAGCTGGGCGTCAACCCCACAGCCACTGACTGACTGAAGTGAGACCACATTAGAGGACGTTTCCATTGGACTTCCTGCAGGGAGCTGAGCTGGCCTGTCTGAAGTGAGAACACTTCACAGGGCATTTCCTATCGGGCTCTGACCTTGCCTGAATAAAGGGAGACCCCTTCTTTGGATTGGGACCCAGGTTTGGACTCTCCAGGGACTCGGACTTGCCAGTACAAGCCCTCCAGGTCTTCAGCAGCCCCGTTTAACATCGACTGTGTTTGTAGCCCAGTGAGCTCTCTTGGGTGTAGATTGCAGGTATGTGCTAACGGCATTGGGACCTATTTTTCTGAGTCCTCCCCCGATATAGCTCCATTGCTGCTGGTTAACTTCTGGCAGCAGACCCAGGTGTGCTGGCCCAGGTAAAGGTGTCTGTACCGTGATGGGATCCCCAGCCATGGGCCTACTACTGTTCTGTCACCAGCTGTGTGTAGGGATCTTGTCTGTGTGCGAATTCTGGGATACAGTACCACGTGTTTATTCTTCCCCAGCCCTGGAATCTAGAAGTCTGAAAACAAGGTGTTAATAGGGATGCATTCTCTGCAGGCTCCAGGGACCAGTCAAAGCCTCTTTGGCCTCTGGTGGCCTCAGGCATCCTCAGCCTGCAACACAG